AGAGATGCCTTCTGCCAACATTTGAAATTGGCATTCTGCACAGCCAAAAACTCTGATCTTCTCTGTTATCTAATTTGGGATTTTAGCTACTATTTCCAGGCTGTTAACCTCCACACCTGGACTCTCAGTGATACCACATCAGGTTGCCCCTGCTGCTTCAGTATCGATCAGCAGCATCCTCTTCCCCAACAGGTGATAAATTTATTAGTAACTATCCAGGCTGCCCCAGCTTTAGGCAATTGTCTTCTTAAGAATTATAGTATTTATTCATTGGAGGATAATAAGACAAGGGTAGAAGTCAAATACTTTCGCCCGTTAATTTGCAGCTGTTTCATAAAGAGCTATGCTTCACAGAGAAAAGAGCCTGCAGTTCAGATATTATATAATGTCCCCTACTTTGCATAAGACACTGCGAATAATTTTTTTTTACAAGATGCACTTTATTTATGAGCAGTTTCCTCCATAGAAAGAGCTTGTTAGGGCTTAATGCTGATGAATGGAGACAGCACCATTCACACTTCCAGGTTATGGTCTGTCAGTGCTTTCATTATATGCACTAATTTACAAGGATTTATTTATTTTCTCACAAATGTAAAAATGTGCTCCAAGCTAAACATGCTGTCTGGGCATCTGAGGGAAGTGTATTCCTTGGTTGTTCGTCCCACCCCTATCCCACCCACCCTGCATCACTGCCTAACCTTGTGGTAATCGCACAGATCTATATATTTTTTGCTTGCTCTAAAAATGAATACTGGTTAAAATTTTAAACCCTGGAAGTGAGTCTTTTCAATGCAGTTTAATTCCTTTCTCATTCAAAGACTGTGCCTTCCATTGTGTTTTAAGTGCTAATGAAAACCCTGTCAAGTAAGCACATCAAGAGACGTGACCCTTGGAACAAATTATGCCCACAGCATTGGGTAACAAATTTTGGAAATCTGGGTACAACTATATCAAAATATGAACGTCTTATTGAATCTGTAAGATCTTGCTAGCCCCAGATGGCTTTATGTGCTATGAAATCACTCACGTCCCCGTCTCTGAAGAATAAAATTTAAAATAGACTGGGCATGTGCTACCTCCTCCCACTCAGTCTAACAAACAGTAATAGATCATACTGCGTCATCAACATCCCTGGGCTATACCGACACTCATTATGGGAGATGACCACGCCCCCTCCCGCTCCCCAGCCAAGTAATGGCAGAAATAATTCTCTTTTTCTTACCCATGATTTCCAGTTTGGTTTTTAACCTCAGTGAAAATTAAATACCCTTTAAACCTCACCAGCGAAGAGTTTGTAAAACTAGTTGTTTGGGGAATTTGTCTGTGTGTTGGTTGTTTGGTTGGTTCATTGGTTGGGGTAGGAAAATGAGAGGAAATGAAAATATGTACATATAAAATATGCCTAGATGCATAAATAAAGCACCTATCACACAGCCCCTCAAAGCCCTTTCTACTATTTCTTTTTCAACTCCAAACATCAGTATAACCCAATTAAATTTAATTAAAGAATCTCAAAAATTGGAGTATTTTGGAATTTGGACCGCGATAAAAGAAATTGCTACACAAATATATGAAAGGAGAATATCCTACAAACTGTCAGCCAAATGAGCCCCGAAGGCCAACAGCGAGGATTTAATAAGCCTCATCTGTGGAGTTCAGCTGACAGGAACAGAGAGAGAGCAGTTCAGTGTTTAGAAGTTCACAAAAATTAAAAGTGGGAAAACCATGAAAGTCCAAGATTATCCTCCCCAGATCAGGCCAAACTCCACCCTCTGACGGGGGTGAGGAGTGTAGTAGTCAAGGAACAGAATGGTCCTCCCTGATGTCAGCATAAAGATGTATGTTTCTGTACTGCTAGTTTCTGGAGGAATACATTTGTCTATACCTTTTGGGAATCTGTTTCAATTTTCAGGGATTTGATTCTCTAAGTTTACCATCTCCCAGTTAGAGCAGCACTTTCACAGTATCCTCTTAGTCTTGCTTTCCATGTACCTGAATTCTTCGTCCTTTAGCGCGCACAGAACTTGGCACAGTGCCATTCAGTATGCGTTTGGTAAATAATTCATGATTTTATACACTTCAAGCCTGTCTGCTCTTAGCCTTTCTCTCTCCAGATTTGAGTCTTGATCTTTCAGTTCATCCTCTTATGACAGCCAAATTTCCAAGTTCACATTCAGTGATATTGAATACAGAGGTCATAGAAGGTGATCCCAAATCATAGGCCTGCCACACACCAGACCAAATTCTAGGCATTTAAGAAATTGATTTCGCCAAAACACAAAGAAAAATAGAAAGCAGAAATACCCCTTGATTCATCTTCAGTCCAGATATTCTGGAGATGAAAGAAATGTTCCTATGCCATCATCCTTTGACCTGCCGCGGTCTTAAAAGTCTTTTTAAAAACCTTCTTTAAGTCTTTATGCCACCCAAAATAATAAAGGGACTTATTGACATGGAATTGCCCTTGTTTGGACATGCTGGTTTCCTTGGAGAACTCACCAAAACGTAGATGACTTTAGAGGCATTCAGGGAAAGTTAAGATGAATCTGGGGCTTCCCTGGTGGTACAGTGGTTGAGAATCCGCCTGCCAGTGCAGGGGACAAGGGTTCGAGCCCTGGTCCCAGAAGATCCCACATGCCGCGGAGCAACTAAGCCAGTGCGCCACAACTACTGAGCCTGTGCTCTAGAGCTGGTGAGCCACAACTACTGAGCCCACGTGCTGCAACTACTGAAGCCGGCGCGCCTAGAACCTGTGCTCTGCAGCAAGAGAAGCCACCGCAATGAGAAGCCCACGCACCACAACAAAGACCCGATGCAGCCAAAAATAAATAAAATAAATAAATTTATTTTAAAAAAATGAGTCTGTAACTTTCATAGATGTTAAGGATTAATACTTCATGAGGAACATCAGGATTAATCAAAGTACATCATAAAGTCGAGCCTTAATATTAACCTCCTGCCAATGAACTAACTCATCTAAAGGCAGTTTATTAAGTTGGGTTTATAAACTGTCTTTAGATGAGTTCACTCTTTGCCAGGAAAATTATTGTGCGTGTGTGTGTGCGTGTGTGGGTGCACGCATGAGCACTAAGAGGACATGCTGGTTATCACAGATCTTCCTAACTTTAACATACATTCTGAGTTTCACAAGGTCTGAATAAAGGAGAACTAGGAAAAGACTAAATTGTAAACTAATTTTAAAGTAATGCCATGTGGTTATTTTCAAAGTAGCAAGGGAAGCAGGAGTTGAACCATATGTTCTGTATCAGTGTCTGACACTTTTTAAATGCATTATTTCATCAGATACTTACTACAACCTAGGCATAGAATAACCAACTCATCCTAGTTTGTCCAGGACTGTCGCAGGTTTAAAACTGAACCCTGCCCCAGTCCCAGGCAAGCCAGGACAGTTGGTCACTTTAGCCAAGTAAAGCAATAAAAGGTGTTCTGAGACCAGTTTCCAGCATGGGGAGAACCACCAACACCACCACCAAGCAATTCTACACCAGCTGAGTGTCCTACGATTTCACTTAATTCTGACGCGATCTACCCGTAAATAGTATCAGATCCCACAGGTTAAGGGGTGAGTCCTGCAAGACTGCCTTCCCCCAACACCACTTCACATGCCAATCACAAGTCCAGGTTGTCACCTGTGTTTCTGACAGAACTGCTGTAGATAGGAGGTTCCAACAACTCCCTTCTTGGGTTCCATTATTTTGGTAGAGCGGCTCAGCTAACTCAGAGAAACAGTTTACTCACTAGATAACTGGTTTATTATAAAAAGGATGTAACTCAGGAAGAGCCAGATGGAAGAGATGCATGGGGCAAGGTATGGGGAAAAGGAGGGGAAGCTTCCAGGCCCTCTCCAGGTGCACCATTCTCCCCAAATCGCCCTGTGTTCACCAACATGGAAGCTCTCCAAAGCCTGTCCTTCTGGGTTTTCAGTGGAGGCCTCATAATCATAATTGATTAAATCATTGGCCATTGGCCTTTGAACTCAATCTCCAGCCCAGGTCAGGAGGTGGGACTGAAAGTTCCAATCCTCTAATCACCAGGTTGGTTCTCCTGGCAACCAGCCTATTCTTCGGCCAAAGTGCGGCCAAAGTCACCATATTAACATAACAAAAGTCACCTTTATCTCTCTCACCACAGGCAATCCCAAGAGTTTTAGGAGCTCTGCTAGAAAAGGGAACGGAGACCAAAATTCTTTATTATAAATCACAATATCACAGGCAGATAATCTTTTCCATATTTTACCAGAGAGGAGGCTGAATGACTCAAAGTCACACATCAGTTGTAAGTGGTGCATTCAGTATTAGAACCCCAGCCTTCTAACTGCTTTTATATATTTTCCAAGAAACAAGACTGTAATTAGCACAGTGTGTAAAACTACTGTGAGAATTTTATTGACTTGTATTTTTTCTAGAAGCTTAACCATTCCTCTTGTGACACCATAATTTTGCTCTCCAGCTGCCCTCTTAACAGATAATACAGAGAAAAAACTCAGTCCAGTTTATCAGAATTATTAGACTCTGTTAACTGAGAGTGAATTGATGAAAATAATTTTAATGCTTTCCAAGTCAGTTATTTCTAATGCAACTATGAAAATAAGGAGCGGCCTATGCATCTGCCCTCTAAAAGAAATGGAACATACACTGCCTCCCCTGTCTCTTACCATTTGTCTTAGAGGATTTTTTTTTTTTTTTCCTGTTTGTGGGAGTAAGCAAGTATCCGGGGGATGGAAATGTAAAACTGGACAACAAAATTATTAGACTGGCTTTCTCTCCACATATTACATTTTGTCGTTTCTTCTCAATACACAGAGGAGTGAATGTGTGTCCAAACAAACCTCTCCCGTTACTGTTCTGTCTGTGCTGAGCAAAATTGAATCCATATGTCTTTAAAATGCCTTTTCATTTCTATGGCTTCTTTCAAAATACTGATCTTGGTGCAAATGTGGCCCTCTAGACTACTAATGCTCAATTGCTCTTCCCCAACAGGCATCACAGTTGATAGGCATGGATTCATTTACTTTGTGGATGGGACTATGATTCGGAGAATTGATGAGAATGCTGTGATCACAACAGTAATCGGCTCAAACGGTCTGACTTCCACACAGCCACTGAGCTGTGACTCGGGAATGGACATCACTCAGGTAGGCACCAATGGTTTTCAAGCGCTATCACCATTTGGCATCATGGAAACGGATAACAATTTTCTCATACAGAAATTAGGTAGAAAGGAAGCCTGGCGTATCCATTATAACACCAGATAGCAGAAGTTTCTCTTTATGTAAGTTACTTTTTTCCTCCTCAGAAAAACTCAGTTGAGAGAAAAGAGTAAACTAGGATGCGAGTACCACTGGGTGGAATGTTGGCGTGAACATTAAAGTCTCTCAAATTTGAATCAATTAGAGGGTAAGGCCAATTTCACTTATTGACTATGGTCCAAGATATGTAATTTTATTATTTTTGAATAATACAATAACTCACATTTGGAAAAGTACTGACTACTAAAGTCTGGAAATCTTTTTTAATGAATATATGAGCATGACTTATTATTCATGTCTATGTAAATAGCTATTTCTAGGGCGGTTTTTTGTGGGGTTTTGTTTTTGAAGTAAAAGCAACATTCCCTCAGATCTATTTTACATGTATTTAGGAGAGCCTTTTGCCAATGAGAATAAAAGGGAAAATTCAGTGTAGTTCCCGTCTGAGTTCAAAATTCTGATTTTACCAGAATTATGCAAAATCAGGATTAGACATGTAGAGATTACAGAGCATAGAGCACAGTCCCAGCACCTTGTGGATGACTTTCTTAGTTTGCAGACACAAGCAGTTGGTATGTTCAGTGAGGGAAACAGACTAGGCAGATTTCCTTCTTGTGTCACATTGGCCAGAAGTGAGTCACTGGCAAAGGGGAAATGGGATCTCCAAAATGGATTCAGACCCTCTGGAACTGGGTCAACCTCCCTGAGCAGACTGCTACCTAATTCTAGAACCCAAATCAGGGTTCTGTTAGCAAGGAATGAAGGATTACTCTTCAGTAGGCAACCAGCAATATTCTCCACGGTTAGGATGCCCCTGCCTCACCCCAGAACCTCAGAAAATAGTCAAATAGAGTCAACTACAAAAATAAAATCGGAATTGGAAGGCCTGGAAAACTGACAAAATGAATGAACCCTCTTTAAGAGAGATAAGAGTGGGTCAGGCTATCAAGTCCTAGAGCAGCCTAACTTTCCACGATGCAAAGTCCTGCGGGAGGCAAGCAAAAGGAGCATTATTTATGGCAGTGAGGAAGGGCGTGAATGTGTTTATATGGAGGAGGGGGACGAAAGAGAGAAGATGCACGTATATGATTCACTTGTGGGAATAGTTTTAACTTAAAATAGAACACTTAGTATTGCAGTCAGTCAGCTCTAAACAATTTATGTGTTTCGGTGTGGAAAGTTACGCTGAAAAGAGAATTCTTTGTCTAAATAGAGCAAACATAGGATCTTCATCACCATGAGAAGGGTCCTTTTTCACACGACACCTCGTAAGCCATAACTGCCGCCGTAAAAGCTACCTCATCCCTTTCAGGTTGGCATGCAGAGTGCAGCCCACTGAACAGGAGACAGTTTCTCTATGACATTTCATTCCAAGCCTCAGTTTCCCTGACAGTATCCCCCTTCCCTTTTCCTTAAACAACATCAGCTTGAGAAAAACAGTCATTTTCGGGGGGGAGGTGGGGAGGAGATGGAGAGTTAAGTGGGGTGGGTCAGGGTACATGTTCGAAACCAGCAGGACAGCCTGGGAGAGAAATCAGGCTTCAGGTCCAAATTATTTGGCTTCTATCTCCGCTGCTGGCCATCTCTTCGTGTTGTGTGCTTCAAGCACCCTAAAGAGTATCTGGCATTTTTCCTCTTAGGCTGGCACAGGACAATGAGTCTGGACTGATGTCTACTTCAGTGTCCAGAGTATGACCTTCCACTTTTATTAGGAGCCTGCTTCTCATGGCCCCAATCCTTCAGACTGGAACTTCTTCTGCTGGTCCAAATCCCCTTCCCTACCCTCCTTACACCTCACCTCTTCCACGGGACCCTTCCCTAATGCTTCTAATCCTCTCTGTGGTCTCATTCCCTTCCTGGAATTTAACATCACAATGTTTAATATATAATTCGCTCTCTGTTGCCAAACTATGTATCCAACGAGTTTCCCACTGTACCTTCTTTGGACATGCATAGTAAGTGCTCAGCAGGCATAGTTAACACATATACCAATATGAAAAAGACACTATATGGTACAAAGAATATGAAGGAGTTAAGTGCGGACAATGTGGTGAAGGACCTTATAAGCGTGATGGAGTTCCAGTTTTATCCAGCGGACAATGGGGAGCCAATGAGAGCATTAAGCAAGAAAATGCATTTTTAAAATAGTCTTAAACATGGAAATCCGTTTTTAAAGGAGCATTCTAGCTGTAGTATAGAGAATCAAGTGGAGGGAAACAGTATTAGAGGCAGGGAGACCACTTAAGAGGCAGTCAAAGCAATGTAGGTGTGACAGGGACAAAACATCAATAAATAAATGATTAGTCCCCTTTCATGAAACTTCAGTGCAAATTAAATTGCTTTCCAGTGTTTTTTTTTTTGGCTGTTCAGGTGATATTTCTTTGAGATACAACTCCGTGATGACCCTGACCGTGAAGCTGCCCAGCTTCATGCGGGTTACATAGGCACGCAATGATAATGGCCAAGCCTAAAGTATCAGCAGTGTGGATTAAGAAAGCGAGACAGATTAGTGAAATATTGGAGCTACAATCAAAGAACTTGCTGACTGACAATTTTGGAATTAAGGATGTATGTGTATAGTGGTACCATTCGCTGAGATAAGAAATACAAGAAGAGGAGAAGCAGGTTTGGGTGAGGGTTGGGTGAGGGGTTTATCTGGGGGCAAACTGAGTTTGAGGTACCATTGCATGTTCAGGTAAATACATCTGGCAGGAAATTGGATATCAAGGCCTAAAATGGAGATGAGATTTGGGATTATCAGTTTTATCCCATGGTAATGGCAAATAGGGAAGTGGGTGAGATCTTCCAGGGAGGGTACATAAGCAGAAAAAAAGAGAAGGCTTCAGACCAAACTCCAACGATAACAATATTCAAGAGAAGAATGAGGAATAGGAACCCACAAAAAGGAGAGTGAGATGAAGAGACCCGACAAGTAGGAAGAAAACCAGGAATGCATGTGGTCCAAAAACACAAGGGAAGCAAGCTTTTCAAAAGGAAGGGAACGGTTAATATCAAATGCTGCTTAGAGGTCACGTAAAATAAGGTGTGTTTTTGTTGTTGTTTTTGCGGTACGCGGGCCTCTTACTGTTGTGGCCTCTCCCGTTGCGGAGCACAGGCTCCGGACGCGCAGGCTCAGCGGCCATGGCTCACGGGCCCAGCCGCTCCGCGGCATGTGGGATCTTCCCGGACCGGGGCACGAACCCGCGTCCCCTGCGTCGGCAGGCGGACTCTCAACCACTGCACCACCAGGGAAGTCCTGGCAGGCGGATTCTTAACCACTGCGCCACCAGGGAAGCCCTGTTGTTGTTTTAAGAAACAATTTGGTTGGACAGCATTCATGACTCTGATAAGAGTGCCTTTGGTACAGTGCAATTTAATTGGAGTTGGACTGCAGTGGTAGATTGGGAGGTGAGGAATGAAGAAAGTGAAAATAGATCACTCTTTTGAGATGTTTGGCTGGGAAGGGGGAGGATCTGGCATTGAAGCAAATCAGCATCCAGGTGCGGCACAGGTGGACAAAAGCTGGAAGACACCAAAGGAAATGCTCTGGGTCAAAGTGTCTACCGGGAGGAAGCCAGCGCGTGGCACAGCTTCCCAGGTGCTCAGCCTCTACGGACAGAGTTTCCACTGTCTGTTTAGACAATGGTGGCAGATTGGGGACTTAGGTTTCCCATGACTCTGCTTAAGAACATGGGCTGTCTTGAGCTGGAAGGAAGAAAGCTGAGTAGGGAGCCTCATAACACCTTCCAAGAGGAAAGCCCCAGTTGTTTATAGTAGTACTTACAGTGGTCCAGCTGAGCTTACAGTGCTCAGCTTTATATTTCAGTAAATCAAAATATATTGATGGGTGAGGGTAGAGACAAATGTCTAAATGAGAGCACGCAGATTCTGCTGACAGGCAGAGGCAAGAGAAAAAATAGAGGCCTGTGCTGCAGCATGAAGATTTGAATCAGACCTTATGAAGAGCTTACTGATTCTAAGACAATGTGGCAGTATCATACGTTATCCAAAGATCTTATAGAATCCCCACCTTCTGAAACTTTTAAAGCAAATGTTGGATAGCAGTAATCTATGAATGCTTGCAATACAGGCCTCTCTGGAATCAGGAAGATGGATCAACTGTTTTCTCAAGGGCCCTTACAACATCATGAAGGTTTCTCTACAGAAATATAACCCAATTGCTAAAGTTCCTTGTTACTCTCCCTACATTTCAAAACCAGAAGGTCCTGGGCATTCTCTGCCTGTCCAGTGGTTAGGACTCAGCGCTTCCACTGCCTGGGGGGCCTGGGTTCAATCCCTGGTCGGGAAACTAAAATCCCACACACACACACACACACACACAAAAAAAGTCCCCAACATGGGAAGGCCCATTCATGCTAGCATAGTATAATGCCTTTGGAAGCTGGGACGTGATGCCTTTGTTTTCTGTTCTTTTCTGAGGCAAACCTGAGCCCCTGGGAAGAATCAACCCTCAAAAGCGTGCCCTAATCCTCAGCAGATTATGAATATTCTCCTTCTGTTAATTCTAATAATAACTGCTACTACTTATTGAGCGCTTACTATGTGCCAGGAACTATGCGAAGCATCTTACTCACACTGTTCCATTTTATCTCCACTACCCAACCACCCTTGAGAGAAGAAGCCACCCTCCCCATCTAAAGAGAAGAAAACTGGTAGTCAGAAGGATTATGTATTGTGCTATGACCATAGAGTTATTAAGTCATACAGCCAAGAGTTGAGCAAAAACTTTCTGACTCCCAGTGTGCAATTTTCCCACTTCTGCATTTTCAATGACAACTGGAGATGACCAAATATAATTGTATTTAGTGGGTGACAAATGTCATTTGGTTGAGGAATATGCTGTTTATTCACAGAATGTGTGTTTA